GCTCCAGCCTTGCCAACAGATGAGCTGCAGGCAGCTGCTGCTAACTCCACTGCTCTCAGCTTTGCAGTATGCACTCAGACACAGCGAGGAAGGAATCAAGTGTAGACCTTGGATATCTTCTCATACTCCAAGAATAATTATTTTACAGGACTTTTTAAAGGCGGAATCAGGTGAGGGAAAAGAGATGGCAGGGACAGGGTGGAAGAGCAACTGAAGGCTTTGGTTCTGGAGCCAGAGAACCGAGTCCCTGCAGGCACATCCCTCTGGAAAGGGGTACCTGGTCATCTGGGGACTCGGAGACAGCCCGGTGTGACAACACCCCTGTCCTGTCTGCTGCTGGCTGCGGAGCTGGTGTGCCTTGGCCACGGTTGCCTGATGGAGCCGTAGGGCTCAAGCAGGGCTCTGTCCTGGGCCAGTGTGACCCTGCTGACAACCCGGGGAAGCCATTATGTACTGAGTTACAGCTTCCCGTGCAGCCTGCGAGAGGGAAAGCTGGCCAGGACGCCTGTATTTTTCTTGAAACCTCCACAAAATGCGTCACTTGGACATTAAGAACTCTCCAGAGATGAGAGCAGGAGATGTGGTGCCACACTGAGGCCAAAATATACAAAAGCCCATCTTAGATACCATTTCAGTGGAACATAATCAGTGTTCCTTATCTGAAGGAAGGCAAACTATTTGCCTGCCCTTCTGCCAGGGAGCCTATCTCTCTGGCTGCTGTAAAGAATGAGGAGAAACACCTTTATTAGGAGGATTCCAAGTGCGATTTGGGGGCCCAAATGGCAAACACCCTGCCCCTGTTCAGTCTCTCATCCTGGCCTTGCTCATCTTATAATGAAATGATGTAAATGTATGCAGGAAAAGTGTTGACAGCGGTATATCTGTTATGCCCAGCTTGACATGCAACTTTAATATCTGCAAGCCATTATTTTTTGACTGTTTTCCCTCTGCCAGCAATTCAAGGCAAGAAAATCCATTTCAACCTGAATAAAATGACAGGCTACCCCAATTTAGTGCAGATCTCATCAGTTCACCCAGGCGGGCAGTGTTAGAAAATTTTACAGGGACAGATGCCCATAATAAATCAGCTTAGGCTTCTGTGCCTTTGATGCATTTATAATGATGATGGTGATATTACATATGTGCAGGGTACCTTTCATCCAAAAGGCTCCTACACTTTATAAACTATATAAAACACATAATGTTATATCTGTGCAACATTGAAATGCTTGCTTTTTTTTTTTTTTTTTGATATCAGCTTTGATCTAAAAGCCTCAAAAACACCAGTGGATTCTTGTTTAAACAGGAGACCTTCCAAAAAAAATCCTCTCTGATGTGAGATAAATGCGTTGCAATCACATGCTTTCAGAGCTGTGAACCAAGTATATTCCAGCCTCCACCCCAGAAAGCACTTAAGCGCACGCTAAACTTGGCAAATGTGTACCACCCGGTTGACTGAGATGCATTAGCTGAAGTGCTTAAGGCGTTAGCGTGCGCTTCAAGGCTCCCTGGGCTAAGACTAGGAAGCTGTTTCTTGAAGATTCAAACCATCAGTGAAGAGGGAGGAGAGGCAGGGAGTCTGTTCATTGGTTCACAATTTTAAACCTATTGGCTACTGCTGTAATTAAAGAAAAATGCAACAAAACTTGGCAGGCGAGCTCGAGTTTGCTGTGCTGGCTGGAAATACACTTTCATCCTGAAAAGAAATATTCTGAATGCATTAAGGCTTTTGTGTGTCACCCTGCTTGTGTGATGTGAAACGGAGAGCGTGCGTGGGGCCAGGGCTGGCAGCAGGTAGCTTGCTTTAAAACCTCGTGCCGTTTCCCCGCTGTTTCTCCATCCTTTGTTTTTCAGTGCAATCTGATGCATTCCAAAATCAGATTGATGTCGAGCCCTGAAGGTAGATCGTCTCAGGTAGGAATGAGTTAGCAATTTTAGTGGCCCCGTTGTCCTCCACAGGTTTTCACACATTAAACAGGAATGGTCAGATCTCCTAAAGGAGATGCATCATCCCACCATGTCAACAAGGCGATGGGCTCCTTGGGAAAGGGCGCTGCCTTGTCCTCACAGCACGGGGCAGAAGTGCCTCCGCTCGGTGAAATTACAGCCTAATTTACCATGTGGGTGGTCAGAAAGGAGACGTCACCTTAGCCTGTGCCCGCACCCCCACCCGCAGCGCGACGGCAGCTCGCGCAGCCATGCAGAAGCCATCTCGGGTGGCTTAGGCAATGGTCATGGCGCAAGGGCGGTGGTGAAGGCGCTTGCCCTCTCCCGCTGCCCACACTTGCTGCTTCCACTGATGAGGAAAACCAGTTCATGCTGGCACACAGCACCGCAAGCCACGCAGGTTAACCTGTGTGGGGTGGTGGAGCCGCTGAGGAGATGCCGATAAAGTGAATTCGGCCACTGTTCATTTGAGCAGCTATGTGTTTGCTCACTTCTCGTAAACAGGAACCAGAGGATTTCATTCCCACTTTTGAAGGACAAATCAACCCCCAGATCTTTCCACCTCTGGAAGCAGGAGCGAGGAATGCATCACCAGACTGAAACTGCACAAAACTTTCAGTAAGCAATACGCAATCCCAGCCCGGGGCTTGGCTGGAGCCTCAGCCTGATGCCTCCACTCCCACTGAAGCTGTCGTGATCCTGGAGGACATTCCTTGGCAGCCACTTTCCTTGCGCGGCACCCATCGTGTGCTGGGAGACAGATTCAGCCATCTTACCACGGCAACTTTTAATGAGAAATTCCCCTCTTTGCAGTATCCTGCTGATGCGTTCCCACATGAAATCTAACATGTGGCCAGCCTCTACCCTCCCTGGATAGTCTTCAGGTATGTCTCCCTTTAAAAGAACTTTAGCCCTGTGGTTTAGCGTTTCGGAGCGTAGGAATGGATGTGACTTCACAGCTGCACATGTTTAATAGGTTTGGATTTATGGCAAGTAGTTTTATTTGGAGAGAAATACAAAAGTAATTGGAGTTTGGCTGAGGATAGATGTGGTCTAAAGTGACTTGGATTTTCTTGTAGCACAAAGCTACCCAACATAAACAGATCTAAAAAAAGCCCACAAGGAACACATATATTTTCTCTCTGAAGGTTTCTTCAGCACCAATCTTGTAATTAAACAAGAAAGGTGTGCTGATCAGCTTGTGTCACCCGCTTGACACATGCTGATAATTCAGACTCACCCAAACACTAACGCACACAGATGTAGAAGGCTAAATTTGGAATAGACTGAGTACAGTTTTTTAGAGTGCTTCACCAGCATATGTCAAATAAACACTGTTGCCAGGATGTGAGTCAAACATCATTTTTAGCAGGCAAGCTGGACTGATCAGAAGTCTGAAAAAATCACTGTTACACACAATTATTTTATGAAGCTTTATATAAGATTAAAACATTAAAGCAAATTACTGGCAAACAGTTAAATCACAAGCAGCGTTTCCTTGGTTCTCAGTGAGTTTGCAACTTTTGTGGTGAAACGTGGTAATTTTAAAGGCATTGGTTTTACAGAAACATTTATAGAAAAAGAAAAACAGAGGGGAAAATGAAAAAAAGAATCACAGAGCCTGTACTTGAACCTAGAACATTATGTAGCATCTTTCACGTACCTGTACCAAGTGCCAAATGATGTGTGAGAGCCTCGTGGGCCTCCTTCGCAACAGGCAAGTCCTCTCAGAAGCACAAGGCATCCAAATACCATTAAAAAGTGGAGCCTGTGGCAGGACTGGGTGTGCTCCACCTTGCCGGTAACGTGGCCAAGGAGGATGGGCATGGGCCTTTACACTGGGAACTTCTTCCCCCCTGTTGGGTAAGGGCCGCTTCACTTTTTTCAGAAACAAGAAATGCAGTAAAATAAGTCCAAAAAGCTGTAGCTCTCACTAAAGATGTTTAAGATTAACCCTCACATGTCAATAAATATACATACAGAAGCACTTTTTATAGGCTGGGACTCGAGCTTTGCAGGCATCATCTAGGCAATGGAAACTCTGAAGTTACTGACTAGCTGCAAAAATGTATCTGTAAAAATGCATATATACCAATGGATAGAAAGTGTTTACTGATTGTACACAGATCTACTATTGAATTTGATTTAGTATTAATCTAAATCTAACTAGATGGCTTAGGGGAAAAAAAAAAAAAAAAAAAGAAGATACATCTAAAGGATAGTAATATTAAGAATGCATCTTTTTGGTGGATCCATTTCTCCAGGATATATTTAAAGGTTGTTGTTGTTGTAACTACTTATAAATTCCCATGGCTGAGCCAAAACAAACTCACAGAATTAAATCAGTGTATTTTTAATGTTCTGTTCAAAACAATGTAGAAAGTTGCCTTTTTTCAGGGCTGGTACAAGCACGAAACATGGTGGCATCATGCTGATTTCATGTGTATCATTGTATTAAATTGTGAGCATGACATCTTCACTGCCAGCAAAATATTCCAAAACATCTGAAAACTTGTTCTGGAGAGAATTCTTCAGAAATTGATGGCTTGTACATATATTCAGAATATTTTGTTACTATTTTCCTCTTCTCTTTCAAAAGCATTTGCAGTTCTCTGGAAGAGGCATGTAGCAGGATGGAAAAAAAAAAAAAAAAAAAAAAAAAGAAGATCAACATCTGCAAGTGACAAAATAGTTCTGGAGAAGTAGAATTACCTGATAAGTCAAAGACAAGGCTTCAAACAGTGTCGTCCACATTGCAAAGGCATGTGGTAACCCTGCCCATACAGGAGGTCCTTCCTCATCTTCTTCACGGAAAATGGCACTTGCTAACAGGGCTCCAGAGCCTACAGAACACTAAGTGCCTTCTCTAGTACTCTCAGCAGCGTGATCTCCTGTTGAACTGCAATGCCATCTGGAGAACTTGTGGTATGTACGTGGTATGCCTTCCCTGAGAGTTATCTTGCTTTGCTCTCAGGACACGGGAGGATTTTATAGTATTATACTTTATATTTAACGTTAAACATGGATGGTGTCTTTTATGTTATTTAAATGTTTTATTTATCACTTTGCAGCATGTGCAAAATGTGTTTTCTCTTGTCTCCCGCTTTCTGGGGCAATACAGAATATTTCCCCAAAAGCTATGCAGCCCTGAGCCACCTGCCAGATTCCCATGTATTATAATATTTTCGGCCAGCTGCTGTGGTAGCTGTTCATGCCAAGGGCAAGAATTCCCCAGCTCTGGTTTTAGCTTTCGCACAGTCCGGAGCCTGCTTTCAGCCAGTGCCGAACTGTGAGCGTAAGGCCTGACTCAGCCAGAGTTAAAATAAAAGGTCAAACTTCTCAGAGCCCGTAACCAGTTGGTGGAGCCCAGGTATCGTGCCCTGCTCCGAGTGTCAGTGCGAGGCATCCCCTTCCCCTCTGCTTTAGTGCTCAATCCCAGTCCCTTACTGGGGGCCTTCTGGGCAGAATAGCACATATATAGGCATAATGATCCCAGAGGAGATTTTTGGCAGCAAATACTGACGTGGCTGATTGCTGGGAGCTGGTGTTGTACCTCTGGCTGGGCTACCCTTAACCCCAGCTCTGCCAGGGACATGCTGCTGAACTGGGTGAGTTGGAAGTTTCTTCTATTTTCAGAGCTAATACTGGCCTTGTCATGCTTTTGGTTTTTTTTCTTTTCATTTTGTTTTTATGTTGTTATTTTCTAGTGCCTAGCATTTCTAAATAGTTTGCAGTTTTCTGGTGGACACATCACTTCCTTGTCAGAATATGCAGAGCTATTTGGGAGTGTTCGGAAAACGCTAGCCTACTTCCAAGTGACCAGTTGTTTTGGGTGCCCAGTTCAAAACACATGCTGTGTATGGGGTTTTGATTCTTCAGAAATTCCAGACGTTCCCCTCTGGAAGTCAGATATCTCAGATGGGAGATCCAAGATCATTGGCTGCTTTTATGAAAAAAAGTCAGACCACAGTGCTCCAGGAATATATTTGATCACACTCATGCCGGCAACACAGGAGAAATACCATCGCTGCCTAAAGAGCTTGTTTCTGCAGACTGCTGATACGGAGGAGGATCATAATTAGTGACTATGTATGCACTGCCAAAAAGCATCGTAAACATGCACGCAAACTTCCTTCTCAAAACTGGTTTGGATATGGGCAAAGTCACCTTTTGTGCTGAGCTAACACAGCTCAATGATTATTTACATTTGGGTTCTGATCACATAGAAGGTACAACAGTCCAGAGAAAGAAAAATCTAAGTGGAAGCGTTAGATGGACAACTCTGTGGGTAAAAACCTACTCTGATGAAAAATATGCTGTTGAAATTGCTGGGAAGAACCTCTCTGGATCCCTGCTCAGGAGGTGAAAAACCTTGACTCTTACTGCAGGTGAGCCAGAAGGAAAGGTTGTGCTCAGTCACTGAAAAAGTCCAAGTGGAGAAGAGGACATCTGGGAACAAGTGACTTCGTGCCACTTGTAACTGGTAGCTGGAGAGGCTTTGGTGTTATAGAGCTGGGTCCCATCAACACAGCTGGGAGCCATGAAGGGGAAATGCTAAAGAGGTAACGCATTCTGGCAGAGTTTTACATGCAATTTCTTGAGCACCTCTGATTTTGCAGGGTGTGGGAGGTCTGAATGAAGCCTGTGTGGGATTCTTGTACATGAAACTTTGAGGAAAAAGTGGCATACCTTATACTTACTGAAAAAAATGACTTCTGACTGCAGAATTATAAGATTAATGGTAATAATCCTTCAGTGTTTGATACTATATGTTGAGATATTAATGGGTTGCTCCTGAAGAGTTATAGATTTGATAATGAATTACAATTGCATTCCCTCAGGTAGCCTTAACTTTTGAGTAGAGGCCTATGCTGCTCTTCAGTTGACCTGAAAGCAGATAGAGATACCACCCACAGCATCACTTGCTTTCTAGGGTCTGCGCAACAAGGACCTGAGTGGTCAATGCCCACTGGGGCTGCTCAGCAGCACCTGACCAGCCTTATCTGCCCCAGGGGGACAGTGGGAGTTGTGGGGCAGAGTTGATCCAAGGGCACGTCAGGCTGTTCATTTATCTATTGATTTTTTCTTTCAAAGCCTGAATGACCAAGTTTCATGTAACACAGTATTGTACAACTTCTGCCTGTTGGGGACCTTCTCAGGTAGCACAGATTGCGTGACATTTCCATGACATGAAAATTTTGAACTCGTTTTGACTGTGCTGACTGACAGATCACAGCAACGTGTGATGTCATGGCAAAACTACACAAAAGGAAAGGATGCCTCTGACAGGATTAACAGCCTTTTTCAAGTGATTATTGAAATGGGCAACCTCCTGCTTGCTGTTTTGGATTGTTTTGGTGGCTGATTGGCACGCTGACCTCGGGTGCTCTATTGTTAAGCAGAGGAAATTGGGGGCATGTGGCTGTGAGAACAGGACAGGCCCCCCCGTGTAATTCTCTCATTCTTGTTTTTCAGACCTTTCCATCTCAGTAGATCTCCCTCAACATTCTCCAGGTTGAGCTCTTTGCCACATCTTTGGTAGCTGTGGAGACATCCTTTCTCAAGAAGCAGTGCAGGGCGAGGGGAGGTTGAGCACTTATACTGCAAACACTAATGGTGTCTTTCTTCTTTGTGGGTATGTTAATCCAAACAACTTATTAAAGAGCTGAGCCAGTTCTCACATATTTAATCATGTGTTTTATTTGGGTTTTGTTTGGGGGTTTTTTGCTGTGCAAGTCTGAACAACTGGTCCTGCTCATTCTCACCTTTTTCCTGCTCATTCTGGTCCTGTTTTTGACCTGTGAAGCACCTCTCCTTTGTGAAGTAAGTGGTGCTTTAAAGGGAATACTTCAGCAGAAGCACAAGGACAAAAACAGTATGATCACTTCTCTTCATCTTCAAAAAGAAATTCCAACAGCAATTCTGAAGAAATTTTTCATTTCTGACCACTTCTCTCATCTGGTATTTCCTTGTGTCCTTCCTTTTATACCTCCCCCAACCCATCTATGATTTATTAAAACAATGCCAAAATATTGTATTCTTCTTGTACAGCCAAAAAAGCAGTGAATGTCCTAATGATTATCTGCCTCAAGTGTGATACTTTAAAATATTATTCATACTACAAAGCAGCAGAAAACTCTCTCAGAACACCTTTGGAAGTGGGTAATTTTTTCCATCAATTTCCACAGGCTTTGGATGAAACCCAAAAGACATCTCTCTGCTGCAGTCATGGGTAACAGGCATGGCAAACTGGGTTGGCTTCTTTGGGGAAACGTGTTTAGTCACAGACTGTACCTGAAAGGTAACACACGCCTACTTTCATCTTGACAATCTCCAAACATGGAGCATGGAGAGGTGCACAGATACACATATCTGCATTTTAACAGCATAAAATAAATTTTGGATTCTGTGGCACTCTTACCTCGAGTGGGATTTCACTCCATCAACAACCTTGCTAGTTTTGATAGAGCTTTTTGAGTGAGGAGCTAAAGAATATGGGTAAGGCTGAAACACTGTGGTTCTTCATCTGTGTTTTTGAATGCATATGGCAGAACCCAAAACTCATAGAAGAAATCATTAGCATAGAATAATTTAAGTTGGAACAGATCTCTGGAGGTCATCTAGTAAAAAAAAAATAAGTTACTGGTTAGCATTCTGTTGTTTAGTTTTAAGTTTGACTTCATATTATTTTCCCAATTTCTGTTAAAACTCAGGTATCTCGTTATTGGGATATACCATGCAAACTATTAAATGAAGGCATCTACCAACTAATTAATCAAAGCTTATTCCCACCTGTGTTTGCTCATACTTCACAGAGTCCACTGATGAGACACTTTAGGTTGGGAACACAACAAAAAAAAGCAGTTTCTGTCTTGAACTGCATCAAACTATACCCGACTGTACTGACTGTAATTCCCCTCCAGCAGAAAGTAAGTTGAGAGGTGGGGTCCTCAAAGGAATTCCAGGTAAAATGATAATATTATAATTGCAAAATTATAGCAGTTCTGTTATTTTGTCACACGTGATGACAAATAACACAGAAACTCCACCTCATTTAGGAACAAACAGACTTTTTAGTTGGTATTCTCTAAGCTTTAGTGAGGATAAGTGAAGCCTCTAGTTGCTCTACTTACCATGTATAATTAGAAGGGTGTTCTTGGTTACATTGGTACAACCCAGAGCTCTCAGTGGAGTTACTGGTATACCTGAAAGATGTTTGACCTCCATTTCTTCTCAGACATACTTAAAAACACTGAACTCTTCAAATGACAAGTGTAGCCCCAGATCTCAGACTTCTGTTCAAGTGCTAACTTTTGCTTGCCCGCTGCCAGGATTTACTCCTCTGCAGCCCAAACATTCCTGGGCAGGAAGCTTCATGTCTGCCCAGCCTGTGGTTTTTCTGATTTGTATATAAAGAACTAGAGGGACTAACAGGTTTGATGGATGAGAGGTGTCAAACTTAGAGCATATGGCCTGCTTGGTCTTTGCTTGTGTCTGTGAACGCAAGCAAAAATATGCTGGGATTTTTCTCCCTTTGGAGTTTCTTTCAGGGATCCCATTACAGAGTGTGCTTTTGCAGAGCCTATAATAATGGAGAGGCAGTTAAAGTAAATCCTTGGGGTTTAAAGTTGGCAGCTAGAATGTGCCTATACAAAGGGTTGTATGTGAACTAGGCTTTCTTCTCGGGCTTGGTGACATGACATCAGCTGAGGACGCAGCTCTTGTAGCCTTCCTCCCACCCCAGACTTCTTCTGACACTCCAGTCTGGAACTCCAGTCTTAGTTCAATCAACAACGATGTCTTTGATGCCTTAGGTCAGATTTTTTTATCATAGTTAGATCTGTCTGTCTCATGTGGATAGTACAAGACAGCCAAAGACTATGTAAAGAAGTTTATAACTAGCTGTCCAACTTCCAACGCTGATTAACTAATTTGCATCTTTTTAAGACAGAACAAGCCTTCCTGAAATACAGCAATGAGCAGTGGTGCCCCTAGACCTTAGGAGAGCTGTGGTGGTAGCAAGCGTGGAGGTACTTCCTCAAAGATGAGAGGACAGGCTCTCTGGTAACATACAGGTTCTGCAAGAGACTGAAATCTGTGGATCTAGAAAAATTAATATCTACAAACCCTGATGTGTTTGTTAATATTGTTTTAAGGTTTAGAAGCAATAGAGGAATTTATATATTAGAAATTGCCAAACTCTGGCTCACAGTGATCTGACAGTTCCTGTGAGATAGTGGAACCTTTTCCTTTGTTCTGATAGTTGTACTACAGAGAAAGAAGATAAAAATAAGTATGTATGTATTATTTTCTTTAAGTGTTAAATTAGCAGAGGCTCATATGTTTTGATTCTTATGACAAGAACATGCAGTCCTCAAAAGCTGAGGAGATGTTTATGGCCAATATCAGGAAGGGCCCAGGGACTGGGGCATGGGATGCCTGTTGTAAGACTGAGCTGAGCAGTGTTCTGCTTACTCCAGCGGAAGGCAGGATATAAAATATCTGCAAGAAGACAATGAAAATTCATCCAAGGATGTGCCAAGCCTCTTCTGCTGTCTCCTGACGTTGCCTTTGCTCAGACCGTAGATGAGGGGGCCTGCCAGAAGCAGTAGCTGGAGCTGTAGGGCATGCCATGGGGCTGGTGTGTGCTGCTGGGGGGCAGGGAGAATTGGGGAATCTGCCCCACTTTGTGCTGCAGGAGGGAAGTGTTGGGGGAGGTTGCACCTTTTCACGGGTGTTTGAATGTCACCGGGGCTGTGTTCTCCCAGTTTCTGCTCACACGGGTGTGCCACACCTGTGACAGCCTCTTCCCAGTGAAGTAAGTGCTCATGCACAGGAGACATCTCTGGACATCTTCATGAGTTTGCATAGAAAAACAGATTCTTTTGTACAACAGAAATTCAGTAACAATATATTTGCATCCGGCATCATTTTCATTAGCCCTACCTGCCTACCACCTGCATGCCATCTCCATAGAGGATTGAATTCCAAGAGAGAAAAGGGATATGAAAGAAAATCGCATGTTTGTATATTAATAAGAACCGGTACAGTATAGAATAGTTTAGGAGAGAATACCTTATGTTTAACTACCATCTCATGCAAAATAATCCATATTTCATGGTCTTTCCAGCACATCCTCAGTAGTAGCTGTGAACTGGCCATTAAAAAGACACCACCTTAGTATAATGAACACCGGCCCACAGGATTTTGCTTATGCAGGGGAAGGCATCGTGTTGAGACAGAAGGATTAATTGAGCTCTTTAGAATTCCCTTTGATCTGCACCAGAAATACCCAATATAATACCTCTGACCTGATTATATTTTAAACCTCAGTTCCTCAATATTTGGACTCTGAACTGTCCTCACAAAAGGCAAATGCAAACTCAGGACTTTGGGGATTTTGCTTGTATCAGCTCCTTTATTTTAACAACACTTAACTATTACTCGGCCAGTTTGGTGCTGCTTAGTGTAGCAAAAAGGTGGTGTTTTCACTTGGAAAGAATGTAATTTGTGATAACTCCATCCATCACTTTGGCACTTACCCAAAAGATACAATTAAATCTCTATTAAAGCATTGGGACGCTGGAACACTGATCTTTCACAGATCATTTAATCAAAAGGCTCAAATAATGAATTGCTTGTAAAGAGGATGAGCCAAAGTTTCTGGTGGATATATGGGCATGTATATAAGAATAAAGTGTATGGGATTTTCATGCTTTCACAGACAGAATTTTAAGGCTTTTCTTTTGCAAAGGGTTGAACGTAGTTAAGTTCATGTGTGTTTACATGCCCTTAGCAGTTCCAATAAAGGAAAAAAAAAAAAAAAGGTCTCAATAGAATATTTTCAGTCAGGTTTAATAATTAAAAAAAAAAAAGAAATATTGCTGGCTTTTCAGCTCTTCAAGGTTTGCAAGCAGATGTATTCAAACTGCTCAGCTTCTGCTACAGGAAATGATGCACAGACTTGGGTAAAATAATTTTAAAAAATCTATATATGAGGAGAAGACTTCAATGAGCAAAAAAAAGGTATCTTCGTTTAAACTCTGCAGAAATTAAAGAATGATCCATAAAACATCATTCTTTACCTGTGTTCACATTCATGTATTCATGTATTTATGTGTTTCTTGTGTAAGTAGTAGATCTAAAATGGGTTACTCTCCATCCCACTGGGTAGACTTTTCTTCGGTATTCTGCTACTTTATAAATGTACTTTACTAGTTAGAGTCCAATGGCAATGAGTGGCCCTAATGATACTTGCTTTTCTATATAAATCCTCTGCACTTGGATGCGTGTACTCACATAAGGGATGTGTTCCCCTTCACAGTACTTGCTTACACAGGGCATGCTCTGTGCGCATAAACACATATACAGGCAGCAGTGCACGAAAGGTGGAAGCCAACATATGTAGAAGGTGTTTTTGAGACACCAACTGTTACAGCTACGGTCTTTTGGGAACCTGGCAACCCTACGCAACACCTGACTGATCTGTTTTTGTGGTGGAAGTTCTGCCCTGGTGCGTGAATGTGAGATTGGTGTCTGCTTTGCATAGACAACTTAATTATGATCACAAAAACAATGTAATGTATTTACGTGTGTATGTGCATAATAATGCAATTCAGAACACATACACTGCAATCCCTCTGTAAAGCTCTTACCACGTGACTGGGAGTTGATATACCTGTCA